CTCTGCACTTCCTCTCTGTACGCTGACTCGTCGTTCTTGCTAATGAGACCCACCACGGTCGTGTCATCAGCGAACTTAATGATGTGACTTGAACTGTGTGTTGCTACACAGTCATGAGTCAGCAGTGTGAACAGCAGAGGACTGAGCGCACAGCCTTGTGGGGCCCCAGTGCTCAGTGTGGTGGTGCTGGAGGTGCAGTTCCCGATCCGTACTGACTGAGGCCTTCCGGTCAGGAATATATTTAGGAAATATATTTGAGATACTACTTTTACTTCTTATGTAATGGATCAGTTGTGAACTTTTCCAGTGACAAGCCTTTACTTTTACTTGAAACAATGGATTGAATTAGAATTGTGACTACAGCTTCCCTCACCTACACAGAACATTTGATGCTTTTCAGCCTATTATCTTTAGGTACAATTCATCCTCAGCCACTTCCCTTCTTTCCCGATCATTTGTAGTTGAACAAATGTTGAGCATTCGGGATCTTAAACATTATTCCTGACACTTTGTTTCAGTCCATGACAAAGACTTTTTAAACAAAAAGAGACTTCTATCTTCTTCAGTGGCCACACGTTACAAGCTAAAGAACCAACAGCAGCACAAACAAACAAGTGTAGCCCACATTCACCAACTTATTTGCATTTCCATGCAAGAATGCAGGCACTACTTTGCTACATAAATTCACCTTAAATGCATCTGCTAAGATCTCTGCTCCTCTCTGATTGGTCCGTTTGGAAAGTCCCACGAAGAACTCTCGACCTGTAGAGAGAATCTTTTAAGTATGTGAACAGAAAACCAGCAATACAGCAAGCATGAGAAGCTACAGTAGCAGAATACTCCAGACAGCACACCGTGTACTTTATGCATGCCTGCGAAGGGGGGCCAACTGTGGTTAGTATGGTGGCACATAGGCAGAAAGCCTTGAATGCCTGGCGAGGTATTGAGCAGCACACTGAGCTAAGGGATGGGCTCCTAATGTTGCTGCTGAGCCTTTACACTATAAGCCATTAGCACATGCCTTGCCAACAGGAAATGTTTCTAGCTCTGCCATGTGAAACCAATTTCAGCTGGAAGGAACAACAGCACAGAGCCAGTGTCTAGAAACCCAATTAACTGTACTGTGCATTTTCCTAGTGGTCTGTGAAGCGGAGAAGATACTGACCCACATTTTAACTCACGACTGTAAGTGAACATACAGAAAATCGAATAAAAGACCACCATGCTCTTGCTTGCACCGTGGTCTTACTGTGCAGAATGGCACATGACGGTTTTGTTTGTCGGTGGGATGTACAGCTAGGTTCACTGAGGCACCGGGTCATCGAGGTCACATGGAGGAATGCCTGTGTGGAGGATCTCAAAGCACAGATGCATATTTACAGACACGCAACTGTCTGCTCACAGAGTATGAACTAGAGGCTACCCTCTGCCCTTTCACTACATTTCTAACAAGTAGAGTCCTCATACAACCTAAACACAGCAAATCACCAAGTTCTATGTGTTGTTAGTATGCCTGTGAAGGTTCAAAGTCATCCAGGTCATCATAGTAGAAGATACTGAAGGTCTGGAACTGAAGGACCTTAGAACTGAAGAAGCTTCTCGGATGAGAGGTGAAACATCTTCAAGCAACTTAAAGAAGTCCAGGCACTTTTCTTTCCAAGCTCCTTAGACTATGTGTTGTTAGCTACAGAGTTTCTCCTCATCCCTTAAGATATTTATTCCAACAGTCATGACTTCAAATTTGCATGATATGAGACATTTCATGCTTTCAAAGACTTTGTTTTAAATATAAAGATAAAGGCCTCACTGTCAAATTTGTGTTTGTAATTATTTTAAACACTTTTTAAGTACTTAATTGCACCGTATACAAAAATGTAGGTGGCCTTAAAAAGGTAACTTAAACAAAATGGTGAATGGCTGAAAAGCATGTCCAGCATGTAAAAGGCACTATTTGTTTCCAGATGATAGCATTATACTATATTTCTGGAAACAAAAGGATCACATGACTCCTCTTTACCTCTCTCTGTGACACAACAGGTTGGTCTCTGGTCATACACATTAATCTGTAGCAAAACAGCCATTCCTGAACCTCGATGAATTCAAACCACAAACTAAGGACTTGTGTTTCTTTGTGAAGTTTTTTTTTTAACCTGTACAGGTCTAAGTAAAAAAGTAACTTCCTCAAACTGCTCAGTGAACCATTTGACTGCATGACCCCCAGTTATTTAAAATGCAATTCATGAATGAACTGCAAGAGATTAAATATCAGGATGCTGATATTTACAGTGGATGAAATAAGTATTAGATCTCCTGCTGAATTTGTACATTTATAGTCGCAGACTGGAGAAACCAGTTGGCAAGCACAGCATTAAGATGTTTCCACCAGGTGTGCACACATCTCAGAAGAGATTTTGGGCCGCTCGTCTTTACAAAAACTCTCTAAATCTTTTAGGTTTCTTGGCCGCAGCTTGGCAATTTAAAGCTTCAGCTCTCTCCACAGATTTCCAATAGGATTGGGATTCTTTAGATCATATTCACTATTTCTCTTCCCTTAAGTATAGCGGGAGCACGTAGTTTTTCTCTGAATTGTTTAGATGTTCACTCACAAACTTAAGATGAGCCTGTACATGTGCCTCCTTGAGCAGGGGGAGCACTACAAGATTTCAGTCCATGTGCATAAAAGTGTTTAGATATTGTTAAGGGTTCAAATATTGAGGAGGGATAAAGGAGGAATTCCAAAATAACAACAATGATCCGGCCGGGTGGAGTCAAACGATGATTTTAATGAACACACGCAGCGTGGGGAGATGCACACTGCAAAACATCAGCTGTAGATCTCCGCCCAAAAAGACACTTCAGATTGCTTTTGATTCATCAGGGTTAACGCCCCCTCATGCGTCACCAGATACAATACATGCATACGTCAAATCAAAACCACAAGGACTTTTAACACAGTTTGAAAAGAACATTGTCTCCGTCTCCACGGCAGGTGCTTCCTGTCCATCTTCTGACTCTCGCTTCTCCAAAACCTCGGGCCATGCTCTGCAACAAACTAGCAATTCTGCACGCACAAAAATGCAGTTGCAAGCAAATATATCTGAACTCTCACCTAGAACATAAGCCTACCTACAGTGTGTGCAGGTGTATGTGTGTATGTGTGTGTGTGGCTCGACCTCACACAAACTTTGTCTTATGAGAAGAGAGGCCAATTCTCATGTGCATAATAACCAGTGTTGGGACTAACGCGTTATTAAGTAACGCGTTACAGTAACTACGTTATTATTGTGGTAACGAGCACGGTAACTAGTTATTATGCCAAAATCAGGAACGCGTTACTCGTTACTGGGATTTAGATAGGGTCGTTACTCGTTACTTCGTGTGGTGGCATTGCGGAGCTTCCACAGATTCAGCAACATTAGCAAGTGGAGGAGGGCAGCAGGTGGATGAAGGAAAGGGGACGCAGAAGGAAAAGAGACCCGAGGCGGCCGCCGGTCCAAGTGTGAACTGAACTTCAGGTAAGAAGTTATGACCTGCAGTCTCTCTGGGCCAGATATGAACCAAGTTTAGGTGGAGTTTATTTTCGTTATTCTGACTTTT